ATGTATCGGACATTATTAACTCTCTCCTGCCTGACGCTGAGAGAGAGAGAGAGAGAGAGAGAGAGAGAGAGAGAGAGAGAGAGAGAGAGCATGGTACACTCCTCTAAACACCATTACCATTTTCTTCAACTTACCTGTATTCTAATTAAGGTGATTTATATAGTCTTTACCTGAGTGTGTTGTGTTTATAAAATACCAATGTGTTTTTATTATGTGTTTTAATCTTTGTTTTATTTGTGTTTACCTTAGTATAATCTCTGTGTTGCTGTGTTTTAATTCAGGTTAGGTTAGGTTAGGTTAGGTTAATGGATGCTACAGTGTTTTTTCTAAGCATCCATGTGCTCTTTACCCAGCAGGTATGGGGCCATTAATTAACTTACCTTAACTAGTTAACTTTTGAGGTAACAGTTTCCCTTAACTTAATCGAAATTTGGGCGAATTAATTGATTAACCTCGATTAATTATCAATTAACTCCTTAGAAAAAATAAAAATAAGTAATATATGACACCAGCCATTGTGTATCCAATATATTTAGCATTATAAAGTGTAATAAGTATGTGATGGTAAAGTTTATTTCATATGCAGAATTCTTATGTTATCGTGATATAATTTTTCAGGTAAGCAAGTCTAACTTTGTTTTGCTTACTGAAATAATAACATTTACACGTGAAAAACTGTTGAGTAAAAAATAAAAACGGTCAAGAACTTTTAATTATTTTATCTCAAGACTTATTCATACTAAGGAAGTAGTGTGTCAGACTGCCTCACTGTTCAGGTAGTGTGTCAGACTGCCTCACTGTTCAGGTAGTGTGTCAGACTGGCTCACTGTTCAGGTAGTGTGTCAGACTGCCTCACTGTTCAGGTAGTGTGTCAGACTGGCTCACTGTTCACTGGCTCACTGTTCAGGTAGTGTGCCAGACTGGCTCACTGTTCAGGTAGTGTGTCAGACTGGCTCACTGTTCAGGTAGTGTGTCAGACTGGCTCACTGTTCAGGTAGTGTGTCAGACTGCCTCACTGTTCAGGTAGTGTGTCAGACTGGCTCACTGTTCAGGTAGTGTGTCAGACTGGCTCACTGTTCAGGTAGTGTGTCAGACTGGCTCACTGTTCAGGTAGTGTGTCAGACTGCCTCACTGTTCAGGTAGTGTGCCAGACTGCCTCACTGTCTGGGTAGTGTGCAGATCTCACTGTTCGTAGTGCGTAGCTGTCACTGTTCAGGTAGTGTGTCAGACTGCTCACTGTCCAGGTAGTGTGTCAGACTGGCTCACTGTTCAGGTAGTGTGTCAGACTGACTGTTCAGGTAGTGTGTCAGACTGGCTCACTGTCTGGTAGTGCCGACTGGCTCACTGTCTGTGTAGTGTGTCAGACTGGCTCACTGTTCAGGTAGTGTGTCAGACTGGCTCACTGTTCAGTAGTGTGTCAGACTGGCTCACTGTTGCAGTGTGTCAGACTGGCTCACTGTTCAGGTAGGTGTCAGACTGGCCACTGTTCAGGTAGTGTGTCAGACTGGCTCACTGTTCGTGTAGTGTGTCAGACTGGCTCACTGTTCAGGGAGTGTCAGACTGGCTCACTGTTCAGGTAGTGTGTCAGACTGGCTCACTGTCCAGGTAGTGTGTCAGACTGGCTCACTGTTCAGGTAGTGTGTCAGACTGGCTCACTGTTCAGGTAGTGCCGACTGGCTCACTGTTCAGGTAGTGTGTCAGACTGGCTCACTGTTCAGGTAGTGCCGACTGGCTCACTGTTCAGGTAGTGTGTCAGACTGGCTCACTGTTCAGGTATGTGTCAGACTGGCCGCAGGTAGTGTGCCAGACTGCCTCACTGTTCAGGTAGTGTGTCAGACTGGCTCATCGGTTCAGGTAGTGTCAGACTGGCTCACTGTCTGGTAGTGTCAGACTGGCTCACTGTCTGTGTAGTGTGTCAGACTGCCTCACTGTTCAGGTAGTGTGTCAGACTGCCTCACTGTTCAGTAATGCACTGGCTCACTGTTGGTAGTGTGTCAGACTGGCTCACTGTTCGGAGTTTCAGGAGTGTGTCAGACTGCCTCACTGTTCAGGTAGTGTGTCAGACTGGCTCACTGTTCAGGTAGTGTGTCAGAATGCGGGTCAGACTGCCTCACTGTTCAGGTAGTGTGTCAGACTGGCTCACTGTTCAGGTAGTGTCAGACTGGCTCACTGTTCAGTAGTGTGTCAGACTGCTCACTGTTCAGGTAGTGTGTCAGACTGGCTCACTGTTCGGGTAGTGTGTCAGACTGGCTCACTGTTCAGGTAGTGTGTCAGACTGCTCACTGTTCAGGTAGTGTGTCGACTGGCTCACTGTTCAGGTAGTGTGTCAGACTGGCCACTGTTCAGGTGTGAGGTAGTGTGTCAGACTGGCTCACTGTTCAGGTAGTGTGTCAGACTGGCTCACTGTTCAGGTAGTGTGTCAGACTGCCTCACTGTTCAGGTAGTGTGTCAGACTGGCTCACTGTCTGGTAGTGTGTCAGACTGCCACTGTTCAGGTAGTGTGTCAGACTGGCTCACTGTTCAGGTGTGTCAGACTGGCTCACTGTTCAGGTAGTGTGTCAGACTGCCTCACTGTTCAGTAGTCAGACTGCCTCACTGTTCAGGTAGTGTGTCAGACTGCCTCACTGTTCAGGTAGTGTGTCAGACTGGCTCACTGTTCAGGTAGTGTGTCAGACTGCCTCACTGTTCAGGTAGTGTGTCAGACTGCCACTGTTCAGGTAGTGTCACTGGCTCACTGTTCAGGTAGTGTGTCAGACTGGCTCACTGTTCGTGTAGTGTGTCAGACTGGCTCACTGTTCAGGTAGTGTCAGACTGGCTCACTGTTCAGGAGTGTGTCAGACTGGCTCATCTGTGTAGTGTGTCAGACTGCCTCACTGTTCAGGTAGTGTGTCAGACTGGCTCACTGTTCAGGTAGTGTGTCAGACTGGCTCACTGTTCAGGTAGTGTGTCAGACTGGCTCACTGTTGTGGTAGTGTGTCAGACTGGCTCACTGTTCAGGTAGTGCAGACTGGCTCACTTGTTCAGGTAGTGTGTCAGACTGGCTCACTGTTCAGGTAGTGTGTCAGACTGCTCACTGTTCAGGTGTCAGACTGCCTCACTGTTCAGGTAGTGTGTCAGACTGGCTCACTGTTCAGGTAGTGTGACGGTCATGTAGTGTGTCAGACTGGCTCACTGTCTGGTAGTGTGTCAGACTGGCTCACTGTTCAGGTAGTGTGTCAGACTGGCTCACTGTTCAGGTAGTGTGTCAGACTGGCTCACTGTTCAGGTAGGTAGTGCTCACTGTTCAGTGTGTCAGACTGGCTCACTGTTCAGTGTGTCAGACTGGCTCACTGTTCAGGTAGTGTGTCAGACTGCTCACTGTTCAGGTAGTGTGTCAGACTGGCTCACTGTTCGGTAGTGTGTCAGACTGGCTCATTGTTCAGGTAGTGTGTCAGACTTCACTGTTCAGGTAGTGTGTCAGACTGCCTCACTGTTCAGGTAGTGTGCCAGACTGCCACTGTTCAGTGTGTCAGACTGGCTCACTGTTCAGGTAGTGTGTCGACTGCCTCATCAGTAGTGTGCCAGACTGCTCACTGTCAGGTAGTGTGTCAGACTGGCTCACTGTTCAGGTAGTGTGTCAGACTGGCTCACTGTTCAGGTAGTGTGTCAGACTGCCTCACTGTTCAGGTAGTGTTTCAGACTGCCTCACTGTTCAGGTAGTGTGTCAGACTGCCTCACTGTTCGGGTAGTGTGTCAGACTGGCTCACTGTTCAGGTAGTGTGTCAGAATGGCTCACTGTTCAGGTAGTGTGTCAGACTGCCTCACTGTTCAGGTAGTGTGTCAGACGGCTCACTGTTCAGGTAGTGTGTCAGACTGCCTCACTGTTCAGGTAGTGTGCGACTGGCTCACTGTTCAGGTAGTGTGTCAGACTGGCTCACTGTTCAGGAGTGTGCCAGACTGCCTCACTGTTCAGGTAGTGTGTCAGACTGCCTCACTGTTCAGGTAGTGTGTCAGACTGGCTCACTGTTCAGGTAGTGCACTGTACTGTGTGCAGACTGCTCATTCGGTAGTGTGTCAGACTGGCTCACTGTTCAGGTGGACTGGCTCACTGTCAGGTAGTGTGTCAGACTGGCTCACTGTTCAGGTAGTGTGTCAGACTGGCTCACTGTTCAGGAGAGTGTGTCAGACTGCCTCACTGTCAGGTAGTGTGTCAGACTGGCTCACTGTTCAGGTAGTGTGTCAGACTGGCTCACTGTTCAGGTAGTGTGTCAGACTGGCTCACTGTTCAGTAAGTGTGTGTCAGACTGGCCACTGTTCAGGTAGTGTGCCAGACTGCCTCACTGTTCAGGTATTCAAACTACAGTATTCATTGACTCTTCTGGAAAACAATTACAGGTTATTTCGTTATTTAATTCCCTTAAGCTAATTTAACACAGACTGGTTAACTTAACTTACCTTAATCGAAAAAATCTTACCTTAATTAGTTAATGTTAAAAAAATCAGGTTAACTTAATTGGAAAAAAATGAAAATTAACTGAACTAGTTAACTTTGAAACTTAATCGCCCCATGCGTGATACCCTCCCTCCCTCCCTCCCTCCCTACCTCCCTTCCTCCCTCAGATCAAAACATCTTTATCAGACACTTTCCCTCAGTCTCTAGTGGGAGGGGAGGGGCAAGACGTCTCGGTGTATCAACTTGGCAACAACACTCATCTCATCCTTGGCTAGTTGAGAAAAAAGTCACTATGCTTTCTTTTATAGCTGAGTTAATTGCGCTTATTCACCTGTTTACACCTGCTGTTTACTTGCAGGTGCTTTTACCTTAAGAGTTGTTCTAATTAATCTTGTTTACCCACAGCTGTTCTCACCTTTCATATCTAAAGCTCAATGTTTACCTCACCAGCTGTGCTAATTAAGCTTAGATGTTCTTACCTAATATTTACATGCAGGTTTTTTTGTTTACCTCACCAGCTGTTCTAATTAAGCTTACTCACCTGTTATTACCATTTGTTTACCCGCAGGTGCCATGTTTACAGTGGACCAACGGGAGGGGCCCACAGAGCTCGCCTTCAAGTACGCCGTATACCGTATCAACAAGGACTCTGAGCTGCTACCCAACACCACCTTAGTCTACGATATCCAATATGTTCCCAGAGATGACTCCTTCCACGCCTCTAAGAAGGGTGAGTGAAGGGGGGAGGAAGGGAGAGGGGAAGAGAGGTAGGGAGAGAGGGAAGGAGGGAGGGAGGGAGAGAGAGAAAGGTAGGGAGAATAGAACCTATGCCTGTGACATCAAGAAGTATATGGCCGGATACGAGTCTTCTGTAGCCTTCAAGGAGAGTGGGTGGAGGGGAGACAACGGGAAGGAGGGAGGGAGAGGGAGAGAAATGAAGGGCAAGAAGGGGGGATTGGAGGAGGGAGGGAGGGAGGGAGGGAGGAGGAATACTAGTGTATAACATCCTGTGCGTCTTCAGGGTTCCTTTTAATCCTACAAGATGGGAGAGAGAGGGGTTTCTAATCTTTGTTTCTCCTACAACTCTTCAGTATTTTAGTAATACTGTAAAACGTTTCTGCAACTCTCTTCTCTCTCTCTCTCTCTCTCTGAATTTGGGAGGAACGAAATACAGACGGCCGGATGTGTTCGTAGCTGGCTCTAAGTTGCTGGTGAGTGAGATGCATGCAAGTTTTAGAGCCGGATGCCTTGATGGCCGGCTTGAAGTTCTTACAGTGTGTTATAGTGTTTCAGAGTCGGGTGTATTCTTGCTCTTAACTTGTGCGTTATGGTGTACTCTATCAGGCTCGTGTGTGTGTGTGTGTGTGTGTGTGTGTGTGTGTGTGTGTGTGTGTGTGTGTGTATATATATATACTTATTTTATCATCACAATTCACCACCACCACCACCACTACCACTATATTACCACCATCACTATAACCACCACTAGCACCACAACCAACACCCCTCTACTAAAACACTAACCAACCAACCTAACCACCTCCTAAACACCGAAATCTCCCAGAATATCACAAAGATCCCCAAAAAAACAGCGAAAACACCAACGAAAAACATTATCTTATAAGCGTAACCACTTATCTGTGTGTTTGTAGACGGGATGAACACTGCCAGGTCGATTAATCTTGCCTGTAATGTTGTTAACTGTTGAAATGTTTCTCGTTTAATCTAGCCTTGACAATGTTGATGAGAGGGGAAGAATGAGAGGAGAAGGAGAGAGAGGGGGGGTGGTTGATGGAGGAGGTGGAGGGTGGAGGACAGATAGGTCTCTTAAAATTGAATATTCGCCTCGTTGCTCTGAGGTGAAATTGAGTTGGCTCGCTAACATAAAGGTGTCTGAGTCATTTAAATAGACGTGTGATTACGATTGAAATTGAATACCTGTCTGTTTTTATTGACAGGGTGGGCGTTGATGCCTTGGAGAGAGAGAGAGAGAGAGAGAGAGCATCACTGGAGTTTTAGGAGAATGGACATAATATTAACTCATGTCAGTCATTTCAAGTGAGAATTTTCGTGTGTGTGTGTGTGTGTGTGTGTGTGTCAGTCAGAGAAGACAGGGAGAACTCACACAAGCACTCGCACGCCCTCACAAACACGAATAAAACCCAAACATCCCCACAAACAAACAACCAGACGTATAAACAAACACCAACACACCCACAAACACACACACCCCCACACCCCACAAGCACCCCCTCCACACACGGTCAATACAACGCATAGATATTGGTTGATAATGAAGGTATTTAAAAGCATCACTCTGGGTATATACTGAACGTGTTTATGTATACTAACTTACCTGAGTGTGTGAGAGGGGAAGAGAGAGAGAGAGAGAGAGAGAGAGAGGAGCAGTCTACTACAGCAGAAAATATATTATGTTTGGTAGCGAACGGATGAAATGTTTACAGCATAATAATGATTGTTCCCTCAATGCCTGCAGGGCGTTTGCTTACCCCCTCTGTTGTTCTCCTCCTCCCTCCTCTCTCTCTCTTCTCTCTTCCTCCTCCTCTCTTTCTTCTCTTTCTCTCCTTCTCTGTTTCTTTTTCTCTCTTCCCTCTTCTTTATCCGTCCTTCTTTTTCAACTCCCCTCACTTGTCCTCTCTTCTTCTCTCTTCTCTATTCTCTTCTTCTTTTCTTCATCCCTTCATCCTCCTCTCCTCTCCTCTTCCTCTTCTGCCCTTTCCTCTTCCCCCCTCCATTCTTTCTCATTTCCTCCCTTCCCTCTTCTCTCTTCTTTTCTCCTCCACCTCCTTCTTCTCCTCTTTCTCTCCCTTTATCCTCTACCCCTCTAATGTATGTATGTATGTATGTATGTATGTATGTATGTATGTATGTATGTATGTATGTATGCATGTATGTATGTTCCCACCTTAATACCATTATTTATATACCATTAATTACCCTTCATTAAAACACCTGGGTAAATTACCTTCATTACCTTATCATTAACTTTCTTCAGTAAGTCATAGGCGATTAGACAGATTACTTAGGTGTTATATCGATGATTTAATTAATTATTGATGTGTGTATGATTGACTGATTGGTTAATTCTAAAAAAAATTTAGTTTTACATTTTTTCTGGATATCTCTCTCTCTCTCTCTCTCTCCTACTGTTTGTCTGTAAACTGGTGTGTGTAGAGAGCTCAGTACACCAGAGAGAGAGAGAAGGAGAAGAGTATTGTTTGTGTTATTGTGTATGTTGGCGTTGCTGTCAGGTGATATCTCTCTATTGCCTGCTGACACGGACTCTCTCATACGTCACCATCAATCATCTTTCCTGCAATTGCACCACAATTTCTCTACCTGCTCCTTTATCCACCTTAATTAATTGTGAGGGTTATCTTGATCCCAAAGTTGAATTAATCCTAAACTAACCGTCAGTAGATGGGATTAAAACTCTCAATATATCGTAAGTCATTTTTTTTTAACCTTAAGTTCAGATTTTTGGTTACGACAAATAAATGGATAAATTTTCTCTATAATTCTTCTTTTGTTTTATTTCTGTTTAATTATCCATCTTATTCTTTCTCTTCCTTCTGTCTATCCATACCTCTCTCTCTCTCTCTCCACAGCCATAGATCTGTTACAATAGTTCAATGGAAACCTTTCACTCCATAGCTGCCTCACACTAAAATTCCCATGTTCAGTCTAGACTACACTCTCTCCTCTGTGTGGGTGTGGGAGGGTGAGAGGGAGGGAGCGTGACTCTTGCGTATATTCATTTCATATTTGGACCACCACTGCCTGCCTGCCCTGCCTGCCTGCCTGCCTGCCTGCCTGCCTGCCTTGCCTGCCTGCCTGCCTGCCTGCCTGCCTGCCCCACTTGAATATTGAGTACTTGAGAGTGGTTCCTCAATACCTCTTTCAGTTCATCTTTACTTTATGCTCAAGTCAATATACACAGTCTATTTCATTATTATTATTATTATTATTATTATTCCTACAATTATTATTTAAACATATATTTGTTATCACACTAATACCATCATCATCATCATCATCATCATCATCATCATCGTCATCATCATCATCATCATCAATATCATCACATATTTCCTTCTCCCTATCAACTTCCACATCCCAAAGCTGTCACAGAATTAGCCCAAGACAAGAAATATCATGACAACCACGCACATTTTCCCCGGCTGGTTGTCCTGTTTCTGGTAATTTGGTCTAATTTGCATACACTCATGTCAGTTGGTGTTTATTTGTCTCTGTGTTTTGATTTCGTGTATTGTGTGTTTGTTTGTGTTTTGTTTTGGATGAGTTTTTAAAGGTGGCTGTTGTTATTATAGGGGTTGTTGTTGTTGTTGTTGTTGTTGTTGTTGTTGTTCAAGACATCATTGTTCAACAGATGCTATTATAATTATCACTACTAGTACTACTGTCACCATTATTGTTACTACGAATATTTATAATGGTTGCCCCTCGTGTTTGAGGATGGCTGGTCCAAGGGCCACCTAGGGGTGAATTTTTTTGAGGTGTAGCCGCCAACACAACAACCACACCCTAAGTTAACGAGCTGCATGACCCAGTGTTTAAGGTGGAAGCTGTCGCCAACACAACAACCACACCCTAAGTTAACGAGTTGCATGACCCAGTGTTTGTAGAAGCTGTCGCCAACACAACAACCACACCCTAAGTTAACGAGCTGCATGACCCAGTGTTTAAGGTGTAGAAGCTGTCGCCAACAAACCAACCCGCTTAACGAGTTGCATGACCCAGTGTTTAGGTGTAGAAGCTGTCGTCAACACAACAACCACACCCTGAGTTAACGAGTTGCATGACCCAGTGTTTAAGGTGTAGCTGTCGTCAACACAACAACCACACCCTGAGTTAACAGCTGTATGACTCAGTGTTTGGTGTAGAAGCTGTCGCCAACACAACAACCACACCCTAAGTTAACGAGTTGCATGACCCAGTGTTTAAGGTGTAGAAGGTGTCGCCAACACAACAACCACACCCTAAGTTAACGAGCTGCATGACCCAGTGTTTAAGGTGTAGAAGCTGTCGCTAACACAACAACCACACCCTAAGTTAACGAGCTGCATGACCCAGTGTCAAGGAATAGTCCGAGAAGACCGGACAACTCGCCAACTGCACTGGCTAACCATTACCCCGGAACACGATCCACAAATCGGTTAACATCCAGGTTCCTAATACTGCTGGGTAGACAGAGGCAAATGGCGTAAAGAAACTCACACATAGTCTCACCCTGCCCGAGGATCGAACCCGGAACCACTCGCTTGTGAGGCGTGTATGCTGACCATAACACCACCACTTCTACCATTACCATTACTACCACCCCTACCACCACTACTACATTACACTACTACCAAAGGAGGAGGAAGAGGAGAAGGAGGAAAGAAGAATAGGAGAAAGGAAAAATTTTACTCGATGTTTTCATTATATTGTGCGTACAACACTTCTCGGCGCTCTCACCTCGTCAAGATAAGAGTGACATAAGTGCCGCCATTGCCAGCTGATGCATCCCACCACAAGAACACAAACACTGATCTTCTCCACACTTCGCGCGTCCCTTAAGGACTGGTGGAGGGACAATGGCGGTCATTTGTTACTGAGACTTCAGTTTATTGCGTGTGAGTGAGGAGGGAGTTGAAAGGTTTTACGTACATACATACATACATACATACATTAACATACAGACAGATAGATAACTACTACTACTACTTTGCTGTCACTCAGAATCGAATATGACGATCATCCAGCTATGAGGCAATGATATGAGTTATTGGGGATGTCACTTTCGTTGGTGAGTTTTGAGGTGACCTGAAAAGCCGATACGGGACCGGCAAGGTTGTCAACAGATGTTGTACGTGTGGGGGGCTACATCTAGTGCGGGATGGGTGGTGGCAGCGTCTTTCTGGCGTTGGCGCTTGTCTGCCTCGGTATGTAGTCGGGCTAACTCAAAAGTATTGTCACTTTCTCGTGTGGTGCTCCTCCAAGCGTTACGGTGTGGAGTAATCGTCTCCCAGGTGAGGGGGTCGATTTGGCACTTATTCAGGTTTGTCTTAAGACTATCCTTATACCTTTTCAGTTGCCCGCCAGCGTTACGTTTACTATTCGTTAGGGTGACGTAGCTGCTTTGGCAGTCTACTGTCGTCCATGCGGGTAACATGGCCAGTCCAGCGTAGTTGTTCATGGATAATGGTAGCCTCGATGCTCCCGTTGGTGTCAGCAAGAATACTGGCATTTGTTCTCTTGTCTTCCCAGCGAACTCGGAGGATGGAACGTAGACTACGTTGGTGAAAGTTTTCAAGTGCCTTGAGGTGCCTCCTGTATGTGACCCATGTCTCGCTGCCGTAGGCAGGTGGGGAGGACCACTGCTCGATATACGTGCAACTTTGTAGATAATTTCAGCTCCTACAGCTGAAGACACGGGTACGGAGTCTGCCAAAGGCTTGAGATGCACATCTGATCCGATGCTGAATCTCTTCATCGATGTCCGCGGTGGTGGACAGGTGGGAGCCGAGATACTGAAAGTGGGTAACATTAGAGAGGGTAGTACAGGCAAACAGACAAAGTAAAAATAATGGATTTGTATGGCAACATGAAATAGTACAGAGAGAGAGAGAGAGAGAGGAGAGAAGAGGGAGAAGAAGAGAGGTTATTTTATCTTATATAAGAAACAAAAACACTTTTTATTTACGATATAAGTTTATCCCTAACAACGTGTCCCACGAGGGAAGAGGGAAGAGGGAGAGGGAGGGGGAAGGGAGAGAGAGAGAGAGAGAGAGAGAGAGAGAGAGAGTAGGTGAGGAGTGATAGACGAAGACGTATATAGTGTATGCGTGTGTGTGTGTGTGTGTGTGTGTGTGTGTGTGTCTATAAAGTCAAGTCCCATGCACAGCTGGGTTAACTCAGGATGCCATGGGATCGAACTAGTGGCTCTCAGTACAAACGAGCTATATAACCACTCGGTCGTCAACCTCGATAAATGTAACAAGAGCTAGACTGAACTGTAAAAAAAACATATATTGTACTTTAAAAGATAATTAGTCCTAAAAATTGGTCCTTAAAAATGGGTTATGAAAATTTGATCTCACAATATTTTCTCAACAAAATGGTCTTATAAAAATTGGCTCAGGATAAATAATAGGAGGGGCGAGGCGACATAACACTCGACCAAGATCGTAAAATATCACCTATAATTGGGTCACCATCACTCAATATGGGTTGGGAGATTCAATCTAATATTACTAATTGGAGGTGCGAGGGAGGGAGGGATGGGTGGGATAGATGGAGGAGGGAGAGGAGGGAGGAGGGAGGGTGGGATAGATGGAGGGAAGGAGAGGGAGGGAGGAGGGAGGGGGAGGTAGGGCGTGGATAGATGGAGGAGGGAAAGAAGAGAGGAGGAGGAAAAAGGGAGAGAAGGGAGAGGAAGGGATGGGAAGGAAGCAGGAAGGGAGAGTAAATGTAGGTGTGTGTGTGTGTGTGTGTGTGTGTGTGTGTGTGTGTGTGTGTGTGTGTGTGTGTTTAGTTGACGTTCCTACGGTGGTGACTGACAGACAGACAAGACAAGCAGACAGACAAGCAGACAGCAGAGAGACTCAGACAGGTACGCAGGCGGCACCAGGTCCTCAGGTAAACGGTACAGGGATAACAACAGGTATATATTAATAATTGTTTTGGATGACTAATTTATGGCAAGATTTCAAGGGGGTGAGGGGGGAGTTAAGGGGAGTAGGAGGGCAGGAGAAGTGGGGAGTAAGGGGTAAAGGAGGGGGCTGTGGGCATTGTGGGTAGAGTAACCAGCATGGGTTGAGGAAACATCTTTAGATAATTCAGAAAGTGACAAAAATTCTGAACACAAATTCCGGAGAGAGAGAAAGAGAGAGAGAGAGAGAGAGAGAGAGAGAGAGAGAGAATGCGACTAAACACAAAAAAAAACACTTCACCTGTATATGTATTCTAAACCAGTAATTACAGGTGAATGAATATGTATTTCAATATGTATTTGCATATGTACTTCAATATGTACTTGTGTCGGGGTTTTACTGAATATAATTGTGTATTGAGGGTTAAAGCTTCACATCCATTCAGCTGTTTGAAGGCGAGACTCGTTTTTAGGTTAATACAACACATTACTCCTGTGTTAATTAGAGTAAATGAGCCTCACCTGCATATTGTCGGGTTTATATCGAGGGAACATTTGATGCTTTAATGTTACAAAATTTGCATATATTATTCAGCAGGAAATTAATGTTGCAGAGTTGAAGTAGGTTCTGTCTGTCTGTCTGTCTGTCTGTCTGTCTGTTAATGTTATTATATTATGTTGATTATTGTATTTTATTGTTTTCTTATGTAATGTACAGACACACACACACACGCACGCACACACACGCACACACACACACACACACACACACACACACACACACACACACACATTAGGTAAACCTTTAAATTAACTAAAAATACCACAACCTCTCTCTCCTCCCCTCAATACCATATACAAACAAAACCCATATCTCACCCCAACCAAACCCAACCAAACCCAAGCAACCAAACCCCAACCAAACCCAACCAAATCCAAACCAAACACCAACCAAACCCCAACCAAACCCCAACCAAAACCCAACCAAACCCCAACCAAACCCCCAACCAAACCCCCAACCAAACCCCAACCAAAACCCCAACCAAAACCCCAACCAAACCCCAACCAACCCCAACTAAACCCAACCAAACCCCAACCAAAACCAACCAAACCCCAACCAAAACCCCTGCAACTAAACCCCCCCAACCAAACCCCAACCAAACCCCCAAACCAAACCCCAACCAAACCCCAACCAAACCCAAACCAAACCCAACCAAACCCAACCAAACCCCAACCAAACCAACCAAACCCCAACCAAACCCCAAATAAACCCCAACCAAACCCAACCAAACCCCAACTAAACCCCAACCAACCCCAACCAAACCCCTTAACCAAAAACCCAAAACCAAACACCAACCAAACCCAACCAAACCCAACCAAACCCAACCAACCAACCAACCCAACCAAACCCTAACCAACCTCAACCAAACTCTTCCTCAACTAAACCAAACCAAACCCAACCAAACCCAACCAAACTCTCAACCAAACCCAAACCAAAACACTCAACCAAACCCAACCAAACCCCAACCAAACCCAACTAAACCTCAACCAAACCCGCAACCTAAAACCTCAAATAAACCCCAACCAAACCCCAACCAAACCCAACCAAACCCCAACCAAACCCCAACCAAACCCAACCAAACCCCAACCAAACCCCAACCAAACCCCAACCAAACCCAACCAAACACCATGAAATATACCAATAGGAATTATACTCACCATTAATATATATTACTCCTTCATCTCCCCCCATAACAGCGTGTGAACAGATATATTTCGGCGTTCAAGCTGTTTTCGGGCCTTCAGATCCCCTCTTAGGGTCACATATCCAATCAATCTGCGACGCCTTGGATATACCACACCTGGAGGCTCGTCTGGATCTAGAGCCTGAGTATAAAGAGTTCTCTATCAACCTGCATCCGAGCCACGAGGTGTTGAACAGAGCCTTCCAAGACGTGATGGCCTTCTTGAACTGGACGGAAGTGGCTATTATCTATGAGGAGGATTTAGGTGAGAGAGAGAGTGAGAGAGAGAGAGAGAGAGAGGGTGAGAGAGAGAGAGAGAGATTATCTTCCATTATTCAGGCAAAAAACGATGATGAATGATCGACTGAATGGGGAAGCTTCTTGTATTATTCTTTGTGCATCTTAAATCAGCTTTCTTCTTCTTCTTCTTCTTCTTCTTCCTCCTCCTCCTCTTCTTCTTCCTCCTCTTTTTCCTCTTCCTCCTCCTCCTCCTCCTTCTCCCCATCTTCTTCTTCCTCCTCCTCGTCTTCCCCCTCCTCCTTTTCTTCTTTCCTCTTCCTTCTCCCCCTCCACCTCTTCATATTCTTCCTCTTCCTCCTCATCTTTTTATTCTTCCTTCTCCTCCTTTTCTTCTTCTTCTTCCTCTTCTCCTCCTCCCTTTCTTCTTCTTTTTTCTTCCTATTCCTCCTCCTTATCTTCTTATTCTTCCTCTTCCTCTTCCTCCCCCCTCACTGGCATCATCAATCATTAAGCCGTCGGCTCCACCACTTCTGCCTGTATGTGTATTTATTAATGATATTTAAATGAGAGAGAGAGAGAGAGAGAGAGAGAGAGAGAGAAAGAGGAGAAAGAGAGAGAGAGAGAGAGAGGATAAGTCACTTCCCCTTAACAAGTTAACCCGAACTAAAACCTTTCCATCTCTTTGCCAACATCATATCTCTACTTGCTCTTTTCATTAATTTATCTCTCAGTATCTTTTATCTTTTTCTCTCCTTATTTTTCGCATTGTTTCCTATTCTCTTTGTTACTTACCCTCTATTATTCTTTTCGTTTAGTATCTCTCTTTCTCTGATTTTCTCTTTCTCTCTATCTTCCTTTGTTTCCCTTCCTTTACCTCTCTTTCACCCACTTCATTATTTTCTTCTTCTTCTTCTTCTTCTTCTTCTTCCAATTATTTTCATTATTATTAGTATTATTATTCTCCTCCCTTTTCTTCTTGTCTCTCCTCCGCCTCTTCCTATCTTTACTTCGCTATCTCTATCTCTGTGACATTCTCTTATCTCTCTCAGGGATCAGGAGAATATTTAATCATTATACCTCACCTTCTCATTCTGTCTCTCACCTCTTTAGACTCATTTTGTTCATTGTCTCTCCCTCAGGTCTCGTTAAGCTTCAAGAATTGGTCAAGTCTCCCCCTAAGGAACATATGGAGTTCCTTATAAGACAAGGTTCACCCGATAACTACCGAGACTTGCTGAAAGAGATCAAGAATAAGGAGATATTTAACATTATCGTCGACACCAAGCCGGAAAATATGAACTATTTCCTGAGAGGGGTAAGTACGCCTTGTGGTGGAGAGAGAGAGAGAGAGAGAGAGAGAGAGAGAGAGAGAGAGAGAGAGAGAGAGAGAGAGAGCCGTATCTATTTATAAAAACTACATCATCCGTAAACTAAAATTATTTACTTATATCACATTAATAAACCTCTTGTTTCGTAATTACTGTCATCAATCATAAACAAATCTTTTCAGTGCTATTTCCAAACATCAACTTGCATAATTACACTGACAAGTCACTTAAATCTGTTGATGGTGTTGTAATTGTTTCATTATTATAAAAAGTCGGGGGAGGAAAAAAAAATAACCCGTCGTATTCTTCTAAAATGGAGTGACTTGTCAACACTAATAATTCAGGGTTATGTAATTAATTTTTTTTTACTATGCGTTCAGGTGTGGAAACGCTTCTTTGTGACCGGGAAATAGATGGGAGGGAATCATTGTTTGCATTTTGATGGTTCACACTGAGAGGATTCAAGCTTTTAGAAGGTGTTTATCTTAGGAAGTTATAATAATAATAATAATAATAATCATAATAATAATAATAATAATAATAATAATACCACCACCTACAACAACAACAACAACAACAACAACAACAACAACAACAACAACAACAACAACCATTAAAAAAAATACTAATCACATCTCATCAGACAAAGGAGCTAGTTACACCTGTATTAACCATAATCTCACACCTTAATCACCCTTCAGTATTCAAGACACAAATTTTTAAAGTAAAGTCAACTAAAAGTACAAAAGTTTTATATAATTATAACTTTTCAGGTTGAGAGAAGTAAGATTTTTCTTTTGTGGAGCTGAATTTATGAGAGAGAGAGAGAGAGAGAGAGAGAGAGAGAGAGAGAGAGAGAGAGAGACTTTGTGAACTAGTGCAATATCTCAAAACACCTTGAGTACGATGGCTTAATCCCTCTGTGTATGATGATTTACCCCTTTTGGCAAAATAACACACACGCACACACACACAGACACACACACACACACACACACACACACAGTCACAAAGAAGAGAACCCCGGAGAGTCTTTTCATTATCTCTCCTGAAGCCACAAACACTTGTGTCTGTCTGTCTTTTTGTGTCTGTCTGTCCTTTTTGTGTGTGTGTTTTCCGTCTGTCCTTTTGTGTACCTGTCTGTCCTTTTTGTGCCTGTCTGTCCTTTTTGTGCCTGTCTGTCCTTTTTGTGTCTGTCCTTTTTGTGTCTGTCTGTCCTTTTTGTGTCTGTCTGTCCTTTTGGTGTCTCGTGTACAGTACACTATCCTTTTCACATCCACATTGAACCCAAGTGAACTAAACTGGAAAGTCTCTCTCTCTCTCTCTCTCTCTCTCTCTCTCTCTCTCTCTCTCTACTCTCGGCCTCACCCTCCTTGGTAAATGTTCAAGTTTGTATATTTTTATTCATTTATTCAAGTATACAATGAAAATGTGATATATGTACTGTATAAATGCAGCAATACATACTGTCCATGGATACTCTTCTGGTTATCTATACATACACATATACGTAAACATACATACACATACTCACACACACACACACACACACACACACACACACACACACACACACACACACACACACACACACACACACACACACACCCTTGGCGCCACTGAGACCCGTGCATGTCCTTTCCGCCTTTCCGCCCAGCGTCGCAAATCTCCGCCCACCCACCTACCTATCTCACGCCCACCCGCCTACCTGTCTCACGCCCACCGTCAGAATCTCACACAAGAAGCCGCTGAGAGATATAAGGGCACAGTCTCTCAACTCCAGGGAGAGATAAGAGACAGTTCTCTCACGACAAACAGGAAGTGATGTTGTCCAGTGAGGTTGTTGGCTTGTCTCTCTCTCTCTCTCTCTCTCTCTCTCTCTCTCCACCGTATGTGAGTTAAGGAAAAGTCTCTTACGTTTGAGTCGGTGCAGCGAAGAATGACGAAAATGATTCCTGGACTCAGAAACCTTCCATATCAGGATAGGTTAAAGAAACTTAACTTGCATTCCCTAGAAAGACGAAGAGTGCGGGGAGATATGATAGAAGTATTTAAGTGGGTGAAAGGAATCAATAAAGGGGATATAGATAAAGTTCTTATAATATCCGAGCAGGATAGGACTCGTAGCAATGGACTTGAGTTGGATAAGTTTAGGTTTAGGAGGGAGATAGGAAGGAACTGGTTCACAAATAGGGTGGTGGACGAGTGGAACAAGCTTAGCAACTTTGTAGTAAGTGCTGGAACTCTGGAAAGTTTCAAAAGGAGGCTAGATAGATTCATGGATGATAGAGAGTGGTAGTAACTCTCGACAGGAGCTGCCATGCACAGACCAACCGGCCTATTGCAGACTCCTTATGTTCTTATGTTCTTATGTTTGCACTTCCCCCCGTGACCTATGACCTGAGGAGGGGAAATGAGGGAGAGAAAGTAGGGAGGGGGGGCGTGAGGGTAGGGGGAGGGAAGGGGGGAGAAGAAAGGGGTTAGGTAGGTAGGGAGAGGGGAGAGGGGGGAGGGAAGGAGAGGGGAGAGGAAGGAAGGACAGATTACACATACTCACATAGGGCTGTATACATACATCAAAGATACCGTTATACATACACATATACATAAGTGTAGACAGACAAACAAGCAGATAACTAGACACATACAGAGGCATAGAATCATACATAGTTACATCTATTCATACAAATATACATACATATAGAGTGAGATTTTACCTACATATTTCTGTGTACCTTTGAGAGCTGGGTCGGCTCTATTCACCTGTGTAATTAACTGATTGAACAGGTGTATGGGAGTGTTGCCTGGTTAGGTTGAGGTGAGGTGAGGTGAGGTTAGGTTAGGTTAGGTTAGGTTAGGTTAGGTGAGGTGAGGTGAGGTGAGGTGAGGTGAGGTGAGGTTAGGTTAGATTAGGTTAGGTTAGGTTAGGTTAGGTTATATAAACACACATTATTATCAATGCCGTACAATCACTTCACCATACTACGCCAGACGCACGTTCGCCCATCTGCACAAAGACTCATTTCTACTCGACGAACTTTTTCCCTCTCCACTCTCTCTCTCTCTCTCTCTCTCTCTCTCTCTGTGGTATAGCACTCTTATACCCCGGGACCCTAGAAAACACCCCCAACCCTGATCGCTATTTAGGTCGTAAGGTCCATAATGACTTAGTAAATGCCGACACAATGACCTTTAATGGGTGTAGTGGTAAGCTTGCTAAGGGACCGCCTCTTATATCCTCCTTTACGCCATTATAAAAGGCGTCTTGGGACCATTAAACCACGTCGAGGCAAGTGGGTGGGGGAGCTGTGAGGAGGGGTTGGATTGGGGGGAGGGAGGGTGCAGAGGAGGGAAGGGAGGGAGGGGAGGGGAAGTTTATATGGGAGGGTCAGGGATGAAGGGGGCGGGGGTAGATGGGCGAGGCCCTCTCTCTCTCAAAGTTCTGCTCGTTAGAGACAGCTACTGGGCTGATCAGACAGACAGACAGACAGACAGGCAGACAGCATAGACAGACATATAACAGTACGGGGACACATATTACACATACATACACACACACACACATTACACACACATACACACACACACACACACATACACACACACACACACACACACACACACACACACACACATACACACACATTATTCTATATACTATTCTCTGTGTGTTTACATTTTGAAACTCACAGCTGGAAGAAGTAGAAAGGTCACTAGACTCAGGTCCCGCGGGTCCAGGCCACTCCCCATGCATTACGCGGGGCCCGACAACCACAGTGTCGTATACATGGATTCATTGTTGTGTATAATGTATGATTGTGAGGTGTATAGTGTATAATGTATGATTGTGAGGTGTATAACGTGTGGTCGACGGCAGGTATTGTGGTTTTGGTTGGAATTGAGGAAGTCTGATGTGTGGCTGGTACAGATCTTGGCGGTGAGGGAGATGTGTGTGTGTGTGTGTGTGTGTGTGTGTGTGTGTGGCCTTAATAAACTGCCGGCATTTTAGGCATATAGGGATAACCTTTTGTGTTTATTATTTTAGCTTAATTGAAATTACATACATACATACATACATACATACATACATACATACATACATACATACTGTACATACATACATACAGCAAAATACTTTCATATAATATTTCATCGACAATGAAAGTGAGTTTTCGCCCACTATAGTCATGAAAATGCACATACATGGAACCTTGAAAAACATTAATTTCCAGTGTGTGCGTGTGTGTGTGCGCGTGCGTTTGTGTGTGTGTGTGTGTGTGTGTTTGTTGGCAGGTTTTAAGGGGCACATCAACAGTTAACGAGAGGCATCATAAAAGACACATAACAGTGTGAGTAATGCCCCCAGTGTCGACCATACTACTGTTGTGATGGTCCGGTGGGTGTGGGTGGGTGGGTGGGTGTGAGTGGGTGGGTGTGGGTGCGTGGGTGTGGGTAGTAGTGGGTGTGGGTGGGCGTATATCGAGCAGTGGTCCTCTCCACCCTGCTTTATGGCAGCGAGACATGGGTCACATATAGGAGGCACCTCAAGACACTTGAAAATTTTCACCAACGTAGTCTACATTCCATCCTTCGAGTTCGCTGGGAAGACAAGAGAACAAACGCCAGTATTCTTGCTGACACCAACTGTAGGAGCATCGAGGCTACCATTATCCATGAACAACTACGCTGGACTGGCCATGTTACCCGCATGGACGACAGTAGACTGCCAAAGCAGCTACTTTACAGTCACCTAACGAATAGTGAACGTAACGCTGGCAGGCAACTGAAAAGGTATAAGGATAGTCTTAAGACAAACCTGAAAAAGTGCCAATTCGACCACCTCACCTGGGAGACGATTACTCCACACCGTAACGCTTGGAGGAGCACCAAACAACAAGGTGTCAATACTTTCGAATTAGCCCGACTGCATACCGAGGCAGACAAGCGCCAACGCCGGAAAGACGCTGCCGCCGCCCCTCCCGCACTA